CTTTACACTCTAGCTGGTAAGAACATGAACTATTTTTAGCCTTGTGTGTGTTCTGGAGATTACTTAGCCTACTAATTTCTGATGATTCTTTCCCTGGCCTTCAGTAATTTACTTTCATGAATGTTCAGAGTAGTGTTCATCCAAAGATTCACAGATCTCCTTGGAGGTTTTTTTGGTTTTGCTTTTGTATTTTTCTGTGCAACTCCATCTTTTCCTATACTCTTTCCTGCAAATTTTCGCCAGCATGGCTCCCTGAATGTCCGTCTTTGTATCCTCAACTCAGAGAAACTGATGAGCTCTGTTTGCATTTCCACTTTGCTCTGCTGCTCCAGACAGTAAGCTCGGGTAATAATCATAGAGATAGTGTGTTTGCTTCTTTTTCGCAGGACCTGAAATGACTCTTGGCAAATGGTTGAAAATTGATACTTAATGTAGTTTGTCTGGTTTTCTTGTTGTTGAGGATGAGAGTGTAAATACAGTTTCTAGTACTTCCTGTGGTCATAAGCAGAAGTCCTTACTCTGTATTTTATACCTTTATATATTTTAATATATATATAGGTCATAAATACTTAAAAGAGGTTATTTTCTTGGTTATGTCATTCCTGCTGTTTCCAGTTTATTCTTTGAGATGATGAAATACCTGAAAATAATAATGATCCTCCTTTTACATTTCAGGCCCATGCTAGATGTTCCATATACCTTATCTTGAATCTTCACAAAAACGTTTACAGGCAGATATTACTGATACCGTCATCTCCACTTGAGAGATGTTAAAACTGGAATTCAAAGCGTTTAGTAACTTGACCAAACTCATCATCCAATGTACTGAAGAGCTTCCCTTTGAATGTGATCTCTGAGTACTCATTTATTCAGACCACAGTGTCTCGTGTGTGGTACTTAAAAAGATATCACATCAAAAACAGTTGAGACCAAAATAATTTTGTGGTCGAAAGGTTAATTCATGCAGAAAATGTAAGTCATTCTGATAGTGGCGTTTTGCAATATAGGTGAATAGCTCTTTTATAACTTTGTGTGAGAGAGAAGGAGGATAGGGAGAGAGGGCATGTGTGCATGTTTGTAAGTGCCTGTGATGTGCTCAGTGAAGTGGATCAAGGAGCCCCACCTGACCACTCTGACTTGCTTTGAGCCCCGATGACGCTGCACACAATACTCAAATCATTACACGTTCAACTCCCAAATGATTTGTATTCTTATAGTTGCCTTGGCATAACAAATTAAACCTAGTGACTTAATTTTTTTAAATTTCAAATTAATATGAAGGTACAAATTTTTAGGTTACCCTGTTTTCACTTCTAAGGTCAAGTTCAAGTTGTAGTTGAGCCCTTCACCCAGGGGGCGTGCTGAACACCCTCACAGTGTACACATTAGGTGAGATCCCTCCATTCACTGTCCCTCTTCCCACCAGTCCCCCTCCATCCTCCCCTCTCCCTGCTGGACAAAAATTGATGTTCACTGGATAAGAGAGTTAAGACACAAAACAATACAAACTCTAGAAGAGAGGGTGGGGGAGACACTTGACAATGTTGGCCTGGGAGAAGATTATGAAGAAGATCCCCCTGGCAATTGCAGCAACACCAAAAATAAACCTAGTGGCTTGAAACAACAGAAATTTATTCTGTGATGGTTCTGGGGGCCAGATAGCCTACGTCAAGGTGTTAGCAGGCTCTAGAGGAATCCTTCCTGGGCTCCTTCAGCGTCTAGTGCCTCCTGGCACTCTGGCCTCTGGGCCTTTCTTGGTTTATGGCCTCATGACTCCAGTCTCAGCTGCCCTCTCTGTGGGGGCTTCCTTACTCACTTTCTGTGCCCCTTTCTCCTGTCTTCTATTTGTCCTTACATTTAGAGCCCATGCTAGTCCAGGATAATCCCATCTCAGTAGCCTTAACTTAATTTTATCTGAAAAGACCCCATTTCCCCCAAAAAGGTCCCATTTACAAATATCAGGGTTAGGATTTGGACCTGTCTCAAGTCTTGGGGGGATGCAATTTGATCCACAACAGTTTCCATGGCAATTCTGAGATGCCTCCAAAATGGCTACTCTTTAACATTCTGTCCGGAGGGCTATCCAGTGATCTTGAAGAAGCGGTTTGGAAACCTCTGTGTTCATTCCCATAGTTATTGAAGATTTTTGAAAGTTAAATACAGAAGAATTCCTCCCCCCCTTTTTTAAAATTAAATCATAGCTGTGTACATTAATACTATCATGGGGTACAGTGTGTTGTTTCTATATACAGTTTGAAATACTTTCATCCAACTGGTTAGCATAGCCTTCACGTCACTTTCTTAGTTATTGTGTTAAGACATTTATATTCTACACTTAGAAAGACTCACATGTACCCCCATATGATAAACCATAGACGTGATTCCACCAATCGCCCTCCCTCCACCCATCCTCCGCCTTCCCTCCCTTCCCTCACCCCTTTCCCCATATTCTTGGGCTAAAATTGGGTTATAACTTTCCTATGAAAGCTATAAATTAGTTTCATAATAGGGTTGAGTACATCGGATACCTTTTCTTCCTCCTCCCCTATTTTTGATACCCTGATTGGAGGCTTGATCCAACAGAGGCTGGCTACCCTGTAACCCAGGCATTTAACTCCTGTCATTATTCATAAACCCTGACTAAGAACAAGCTCTAGACACCCAGGTCTGAATAAGATGAACCTCTAACTTCCTCTCTGCTCTGCGACCCCAAAACTGCCTTCAGGCAGTAAGGTAGGGTAATCAAAGGGATAGTTTGGTATGCTTTCTTTTTGCAGGAATCATAGTCCATATTGGCTAATATCTGAAAACTGACACTTCTATATCCAGGCCTGAGTGCATTTTCTCTCCAGGCATCTCTCTTTCCATTTGGACAGCAAGACAGCCCCTGGGTCTTTGCCACTTTTGACCGATAGATCCTACCTTCCAAGATTCTGTTTCTCTCCCTTTCTGCACTTATTTGGTGACCAGCTATCCTGTTTTGCAACTTTCTTTCAACTTCTTTCTCTCTGCACCTACAAGCAACAACTTTTTTTTCTTAAATACTCTTTGAGATCTTGCCAGTAAAGTATCTTGAACATGATAGGACTGAATTTTTAAGGCATTAGGCTTAATAACTAGGTCATTACCACAATTTACTAACCTGGACTCATTAGCCGTGATCTTTTCTTTCCACCTTGTCATAATATAATGAGGTTGTTAATTAGAGCGGAGACATAAGTACTCTGGTATTTAATGCTTTCATGCCATCTGGGGAGATGACTAGATCTTCTGTGGTCATAATTCCTGTTAAATTATTTCAGTGGGGATACATTTAAATCACCATGAAGTGACATTTCCCTCCTAATCTAAACTCATTTTTATCTTTAAATGAATTATTTTTAGGTCCCTAAAATTCCCAGTTATAATCAGCTTAATGCTTCCGGAGTGCAGCAGCAGAAACACAGGCTCCGGAGCCAGACTGCCCGGGTTTAAATGCTGGTTCTGCTCCCTAAGGGGAGACTGTGTGGGTTATCTGCTCTCTCACTGCTTTAGTTTCCTCATCTGGATGAGTGTGTGGATTAAACGGTTCATGGGTGTACAGTGCTTAGGCCGATAGCTGGCACACATGCTTCACCTATGTGAGCGGTTATATCTGTTCCTTAAATTCAAATAAATCGCTTTTGACATCTACTGTCTTTAAGGCAAAGTTTGGTGCTATGGACTGAAGATGATGGTTCCTCCCCACCCTCGGAAGGAACCAACCCCCTGAATTTATACTGACAGTACTTCAACATGTAGAGACAGGACCTTTAAAGAGATAGTTAAGTTAAAGTGAGGTCATGAAAGTAAGGGTGGCCTGTATGGCCAGCGTCCTTGTAAGAAGGGTGGAACTTTGCTTATGGAAATATGCATAGAAGGAAGTCAGTGTGAAGAGGTACGGGGGGTGGGGGGGCTGCATCAGATGCTTCCCTCACAGCCCTGGGAAGGAGCCAACCCTACCAGCACCTTGCTTTGGGACTTCCAGCCTCTAGAAGTGCAGAGGATAAATTCTTGCTATTTACACCACCCAGTGGTGGTACTTAGTTCCAGCAGCCCTGGGAAACTGGTACAGATGGTGGTAACCAGGATATGCTCTATCCCCAGGGAGCATGCACGCTGGTAAGAGAGATGCATTCTATAGGACTCTGGTTGCAAGCAACAGAAATTCACTAAAGCTTGTTTAAATGAATAAGCAGATGAAAAGATGACCTCACAAATTCCAAAGTCAAAACCATCAGGGGGACCTAAACATTAGGACTTCCCCTTGCTTGACACCTGCCCCTCACCCCCCTCTCTACGTCTTTCTCTCCTCTCCCAGCCCCATTCTGGTTTTCTGTGCCTTTCCAGTGCATTTAAGATGGAAAGCAACTGCATAAACTGCTGAGCAACCTGAAATTCACAGGGATAGGCATCTTGTTCCTCCACCCAGGGTGGATGGATACCTGCCCCATCAACAGTGACCTAAAGGGCAGTATGTTAATAACACAAACATGGTTCTGGACTCTTCTACCATAACTATAAGAGTGAAGCAAGGGGAGTGTCCATTACAAAACAAAAAAAGTGTATATATGGCAGACAACCTAACTTGAGATAAGTAATTGTACAGCCATAAAGCCTCACCATTGTAGAGCAAGAAGCTTTAAAAACCTAGAGAAAATATTGAACAGCATTTGACATCTTATAGTGAGGGAGCTGAAATTGCTTCTTCCACCTCAAGGAGGTACAAATTAGTAGGAAACAGGTACGTTTCTATTCACTTTTGGCTGTTATTAGTTGTGTTGTCTTGGACATGTCTCCACCAGGCCTCTCAGCACCTCAGCCTCCTGGTCTTTCAAAAAGGGAGATAAAGATAATATCGCCAACTTCCTGAGTTTGAGGGGAGTGCTAAGTGTGTATCTGGCGTCCATCAGCACCCCCCAAATGTTAGCAGTTGTTAGCTCATTAGTAACGGAGGACCCTTCTCTGTTTGTTACCTGCAGGCTGAATTCTCAGAATTGAACCTTGCCGCCTATGTGACCGGGGGCTGTATGGTGGACATGCAGGTCGTGAGGAACGGGACCAAGGTTGTGAGGTAAGCAGGCCTGAGGTGCAGAGAGCATTCTGAGAGGTGTATGTGGGAAGCCTCATGTGGCTCACCCCTCTGTCCATCACTTACGGCTCAACACCTGTGTCACACGTGCCTCCGTGTACACGTCTAATCTCTGGCTCCCAAAGTTCCAGTGTCATTGCTGTAAGAATGACTAGTGGCAAAAATAATATGGGACAGCAACTGTGCTGACCTTGGATGAGCCTCAGGCTGGAAGAGGAAAGATTTGGGTTCCATATCTAGCTTCATGGCTGTAACTATTCCGGCATATTATTTAGTCTCGGTTTCTCCTCTGCAGCACAATGGCAAGAACACTGAATTCAGAGGCTACTAAAGTTTATAGGAGCTTGTGCATGTGAGAGCACCCTCAGAGCACTGTAAAAATGTAGGGCTTGACTCGAGTGAACATGATCCTGCTCCCAAGAATATGCAGAATAAATGTCCATAGAAGCCCTTCCAACTGCATCAAACCTAAAAGTACTAGCTGCAATATTTTTTAACAACCAGTTTATAATGTGTATTTGCTGGACTAGAGAGCAAGTGAGGGGTCTTCAAAAGCCAGAGAGATAAAGATGTGCGTGACTACATTTCTATCTAGTTAAATACTGGTACATAATAGGACTTGAGGGGGTTTCACGAAGAGAGAGGTAGCACTTAGATTTGGGGAAGTGGGGAAAACACTGAGAAAATGTGGCAGTTGTTCTGAGCCCTTGTTGAATGGTAGAATGTGGGCATTCTTAGATTGGGGACGTGGGATGAGAAAAGTGATTTAAGAGTAGGAAACAGCCTCTACAAATGAAGAGAGGCAAAAAATGAAACATGTTAGAGAAGTTATGATAATTCACCTAATTCAGCCATCATTTATTGAGTGCCCAGCCAAGGAAAACATTACATGCCTTCCTATTTCCAGCGATGGTGGGCTCATCATTTGGACCAACTTTTCCCCTGAAAACTGATTTTGAATAATTCTAATCATTGAAAGCCTTCAAAGAGTTGGCATAACAGTAAAGAATTACCGGGAAGAGAATGATGGGGAATGGAAACCCAGAGAGATAAATGGATACAAAAGCTACTTGTATCCTGAGAGTATTTGCAGGGACAAATTTGAACAGCCTCTGTTAATGATGCAGTTTTTACAGACCAGTGAGGACAAGGGACACAGAAATCAACACCAGGCCACTCAGTGTAATGACAGACCCTCCCCATAATCTGAGCCCCCAAAGGACTCTACCTTCAAGTAAATGAATTAAAAGTAGATGAGCCCTCATGAGTAATTGCAGCTTGAATAACCTAAACCTTTTAGAGAGCTGAGCCTTTTAGTGTAGGGTGTTCCCACATATGCCAGAAATGAAAGCAAATCCTACATAGAAGGCACCTTCACTGTAGGCGTCTTTAAAAAATAGTTCTTTGAGTGATTTTTTGTGTGATGGATAGCACATAGTCAAAGATACAGGCGTACACACATCATGAATTAGGAGGAACAGGAGAAATAGGCAATAGCAGGAAGAACCTCAGAGATACCAGGTCACTAACTAGACTAAAATAACCAGACTAACTTAATCAGACCAGTCAGACTAATACAATCACATCAAACCACCCAAACTAAACTAATCAGGCTAATCTATCCATGCTAAACTAATCAAAGATAATTTGATCAGATCATGCTAAATCAATGAGGCTGGGCTGATCAGACCACTTCAGTCATGCTAAACTAATTGGACTGATTAAATCACACTAAACCAAAAGGGTGATTGAATCATGCTAAACTAGTCAGAGTAACCAGGTTAAACTTATCAAATGAAACTAGTCAGACTAAGCTAATCAAACTAAACTAACCAAGGCTAAATTGCCCAGCCTAAACTAATCAGCCCACTCCAACATGCTGATCTAATCAAACTAAACTACCCTAAACCAATCACACTAGATAAGGAACACTGCCCAAACAAAACTAATCAGACTAATTCCATCACATGAAACCGCTACAAGTGATTAATCACATTGGTCAGATTAAACTACTCAGGCTAAACTGACAAGACTAAACTAGTCTAAGGTGACCAGATGTCCCACTTTTGGCGGGACAGTCCTGATTTTTAACAATTTGTCCCATGTCTCACAGCATTTTTAAAAAATCCCAATTTTTGGAAGGAATGCATGACAAACTAGGGAACAGTGGGAAAATGGGAAAGGAATATATGGTTTGGTTTTCAGTTTTTGGCTGCTGAAAAGGTTAATGTAATTCCATTTGGGAATAAAGAGGTTAATGTAACTTCATTTGGAAATGAAAAGGTTAATGTAAACTCCCTACTCCCCTCCTGGGCAAGGTATCAGAAAGAGACTGGCTCCTTCCCTTGCTTCTAGGCAAGGACAATTAGCTTAGAAGGAGCCAAACTATCTGGAACAAACAAGGACCGCCCCCCCACAGTAAGGTAACCAAACGTCCCGCTTTTGGCGGGACAGTCCCAATTTTTAATAATTTGTCCTGCATCCTGTGGCATTTTTAAAAAGCCCTGATTTTTGGAAAGAATGAATGACAAGCTAGGGAATGCAGGAGAACAGGAAGGGAATATACAGTTTTTGGCTGCCATGTGACTATTTCACCAGGATATGCGTTTTATATTATTTTTGTTAATTTTATAATGTTAAACTTTAATAATAACAAATAATTGTTGAGAACTGATTATGGAGAAATGCTTATCAAAGTTTGCATTGTTGTCAGGCCCCGCCCCCCCAGGCTCCTCCCCCCCCAAGTGGTGTCCCGCTTTACCAATGTTAAAATCTGGTCACCTTAAACTAGTCAGACTAAAGTTACCAGGCTAAACCAACCTGATTAAATGGACCAGTCTAAACTAATCAGACTAAAACAACCAGTGACATCTTTATTTCTCTAAACTAATCAAGACAAGCCAATCAAACTGATTTGATCACACTGGACATGCTAAATGTATCAAACTAAGCTAATCTGTCTGACTTAATCACACTAAACTAATCCCACTGGACTCTTCAGGCTAAACTAACCAGGCTAAGCTAACCAGGTAAATCTAACCAGGCTAAACTCACCAGTCTCAATCAGACTGAACTAAACACACTAAACTAACCAAGGTAACTTGATCCAACTAATTTAATCAGACTGAACTAATCAGGGTGAATAATGTAGTACTTCAAAACTATTAGGGAGGGGAATGCGGAGAAAGAAATAGTAAAAGAAGGCAAGACAGGAGAAGACACACCAACACAGGACAGGTGTTATAAATAACACAAAAAATGATTGCTTTAAACCCAAATATGTCATCAGGGTTAACATCACTCTGAATCATTTTTACACTACTGGCTATTAAAATATTGGAATTTTCCCACACACGTTGGTAAATAGCCACTCCTGTGGGCTCACTAAGTGCCTTTAGCCACCCTTGCCCCATAAATAGGCATGGCCATGGGACCACTCTTGTGGCCCCCAGTCCACCACACCCCTTATCCCTTAGCCCATATCCTTGTTCCTCCTCTGGCTGGAAGATGCCCTGACATTGTAGAGGCAAACCTCAGAAGCAGTGGAGGAACCCTACAGAGCAAGCGCCTGGTTCCTCCTGTCTCTTCAAGGCTGTAAATGCCTGTGTGTCCCCTGGAGTCTCCCTCTCATGGTCATTTGTGAGAACTGCAACTTCTACAAAGTACCTACCCTAAGAGTTGTTAAATCGTTCTGTCACCAATGTATATCAGTCATTACACTAAATGTAAATGGACTAAATGCTCTAATTTAAGAGCAGAGTTGTCAAGGTAAATTTTGTTAACCAACTATATTCCATTCAAGATAGTCATCTAAAACATAAGAATACAGAAAATGAAAAAATGAAAAATGGGAAAAATGTATACTAGTCACTCCTAGACAACCTCCCCCACCCCCCAAAAAAGCTAATTGATGCAGCTGCATTAGTATCAGGAAAAAAGACAGGCTTCTGGGTGAAAGGCATTACTAGGTAAAAGGAAGTAATTTATTATGAAAAAGAATTTATGTACTGAGAAGAAATAAATTTATAAGCGCTATACAAAAATACCTCAAAATATACTTCAAAAATTGACAGAACTATAAGGAGAAATTAATGGTAGTTAATGGAGATTTTGAGGGAAATTCTAAGTGACACCAATACTCTCCCCAGTCCTGTAGTTTGAACAGGCTAAAAACAGCTTCCAGATGCTGCCAGTGCTGCTGATGGAAGACCATGTTTTAATTAGTCAGACAGGACTGATAAGGCACCGCCAATATTGCCAAAGCCTTGGATTCCACAGGCCCTGTGCTCAGGATAATGCTTACACTCTTAGCCTGGTGGCTCACTTCAGCAAAATTGTGACAGAGAACCAGACCCACAAGAAAATGCACACAAATCAGGAAGCTCCTAGCCTAACTCATGGGGTGTCCCACAGGAAGAGAAGCAGAAGAATCTTCTTCAGGCATCTAGGGCTGTACCAAACCCCAACTGTGGTCTTTAAAGTAGGAATGTTGAGCTCTGTAATGACTTACAGACGTTCTGTCAAAGACATTGAGTTGTGACTCTGAAAACGCCATAAGCACCTCTGAGTGTGCACTACAGGCAAGGCCTATATCTCCTGAGGTCTTCAGGGAAAGTGCTGTGATGGTTGATTTTGTGTGATGACTTCATGGATTAAGGAACACTCAGCTCTCTGGAAAAACTTTATCTCTGAGTCTGTCTGGGAGGCCATTTCCAGAAGAGTAGCATTTCAATCAATTAGTACAGTGACAAAAAAGACCTGCCCTCACCAATGTGGACAGGCATCACCCCAAAGGCCCAAACAAAATAAAAAGGCAGAGCAAGGGATGAATCGATCTTTCTCTTTCTGTTTCTCTTACTTGCTTGCTGAGACTTCCATCTTCTCCTGCCCTTGGACATTAGAGCTTCTGGTTCTAAGGCCCTCAAACTCTAAGACTTACTCTAAACACTCTCCCCCACCACTACCCAGGTCTCGAGCCTTTG